AAGAGGGCAGACGAGAATGTTTTCATATTTTTATTTTTCACCCACAACGTGAGTAGAATAAGTACTTCGGGATCAACGGTTGAAACAGTACATTCCGTTTTTATTTATTTCCGTTTTTTTTTTTCTCCTTCCAACTCTCTTCTTTTTGTGTCGTTCCTTTTATTTTGTTTCGCCCTCGACTCTAACAAAAGCAACTTTTAAAAACAGAGACGCCGTTTAAGAGGAAGGGAAAAAAACTTCATTGAAAAATAAAACACGACGCCCGAAACAACAGACGCTACAGTATCTTTTCGAACGTATTTTCTTCCTTTTATTGCAATTGAGTGCCGAGATGAGTGATGAAGACGCTTTTCCAAGTTTTGTTCCCATTCAGTACTTCCCGCCCCCACTCCACTTTTCTCCCGTTTTTCCTCTTTTATCCCTCTTCTATTTTTCCTAACTCCGGGATGAGCTCCTTGTGGTGTTCCAAACAAATGGCGTCATAGCACCATCTGCTCTCTGTCTTCTTTCCATCTGCGGTACAATTTCCATTTTCTCCGGAAAAAAAAGGAGAATGAGAAATCTTTGTTTTTATACCTCCATGTAGTGAATCTCCATGTTTGAACTTAGAAAATAAAAAAAAATCCTGTCTTGATAAAAAAAACTATATATATATATAAGTTAAAAATATAGAGAAAACATGGAGAATAATAAAGATTAATGAAAAGAGAAGAAAAAAATTATTAAAATAAAATATTTAAAAAAAATTACAAAAAATATATAACAAAAAGCAGGAAAACAAAGAAATAAAAAGATATAATCTCTTCATCAGCTCACACGATTATATCCACAAAGAGGAGTGCTTTCTAATATTGTATCGATATAGTCAAAGCAAATTATATTAATACAACAGTGTAAGGAGCACTCAAAAAATTAAAACAAAACAGGAAAATTTAAGTAAAAAGACATACTAAAAAAAAAAGTAGTAGATCACGTAAAAAATAAAAAAATAAAACCTATTATTTTTCTTCGTTTTTCTCTTTATCATTTTTTCTCCTTATNGCTATATATATATATATATATATAAATCTTTAATTACAATAAAATACAAACATTGTCAAAATGTCAAAAATATAAATAATTTAATGATTTTGGGTAAAAGTACCGGCACTCGGTAGTTGGCACTTTTTACTGTATACAACTTAAGAAAAAAATTATGAGCGGAAGACACTGATCATTGCGAAATATCTGGTTAGTAGTAAATATATATCTAATTTAATCCCGGGATAGTATCTTATCTCTGAATAATATCTTATCTCTGGATCCTAGTAAATATCTATTTAACATAATTTCTGGATAATATCTCATCTTTGGATCCTAATAAATATTTATCTAATGTATTTTCTGGATATTATCTTATCTCTAGATCCTCATAAATATCTATCTAATATAATTTCAGGATAATATCTTATCTCTGGATCTTAGTAAATATCTATGTAATATAATTTCTGGATAATATCGTATCTTTCAATCCTAGTAAATATCTATCTAACGTAATCTCTGGATAATATCTAATCTCTGGATAATATCTAATCTCTGGATTCTATTAAATATCTAACAACTAGTTAACTTAATCCCTAGAACCATAGAGTTAAAGTAAATATCTATTATATTCTCTGGATAATATTTAATCTCTGGATTATATCTAACAATCCGGATAATTATATTCACTCAAGATAATCAAAATCCCATGAAACATTAATTCATTTTTTTCTTTTTACTTCCAATTTGTTTTTACAAAGTTGACTAATGAATCAAAAGATGGATTTAGTCACATTTATTTATAGGAATGGTTAAGGAACATTAAAAAAAAATAATTAAGAAAGAAAAAGTATCACGAAGGAAATTAAATTCCTTCCTAATGACTATTGATTAAAAAGAAGCTAAATTACGTTTCCTTCATTAAAACATTCAACTTAATGATATTTATATTGAATTATTGGAAGACGACATTGTAAGACTATTACAATTTCACGATCTGTACTCCAAATTTAATCACCCATTTCATAAGAAGAAGAAAAAAGAACATTTTCAGATTTAAAAGAAAAAAATATTGGAATGTGAAAAATCGTGTAATCTAATAATAATAATAATATATATATATATATTTTATAACAGTCGTTGAACAGCCGACCCAATTTTTATGGGTTTACAACTACTAATGTTCAACTCCGCAGCCTTGTAATTTTGAATCCAACCCAGAAGACAAGGACTGGATCAAGCATTAGGAGAAATTTGTCTGCGTGGAGGAATTTCTGATGGAATTAACCAGCACTTGCGTTACATGGAGAGGAAGACCACGAGAACTTCCCACGGTTGGCCAGACGGCAAGGGGATTTTAACCCATGATCCGTCTACCACTGAGAATATTTCACATCAGCACTATGGTCGGTGCAAAGCCGGATGCGGAATTCGTATCGACCAGCCATGGCCGCGATCGAACCCCGGTTCACCTCAATGGAAGGCGAACGCTCTATCATCTGAGTCATATATGCCTACCACTAAGGATATTTTACGTCAGCACTGTGGTCGGTGCGAGACGGGTGTAAAATTTGTATCGCCTAGCCATCGCGAGAATTCGAAACCAGTTCACCTCATTGGAAAGCGAACCCTCTATCTGCTGACACACCACCGCTCTGCCTGTATATAGAGGCCAGATACTCAAATGTGCGGTCTTAGTGGCGCTTCTTCGGCCGCCGCCGAAGGAACTTTTCCGAATGCTGTTAATTCGAGCTTCGGACTAAAGCATAAAGATTATTTTTTTCCAGATTTGAGTAACTTTTAATTAATCCATTCTTTAAATAAATTTATTTTCTTTCTATTATCTTGTGTAGCGTTGTGTATTTTAATTTAATTTCTCTAATAAATAGAGTTACTTTGAAGAAATTTTTTTNTTTTTTTTTTTTTTTTTTTTTTTTTTTTTTTTTTTTTTTTTTTTTTTTTTTTTTTTTTGCTAGTGTAAGACATTTAAACTACATAACTTTAAAAGTGTTATAGTTACTTTTCCGCACTAAAGACCAGACAAGAGGTGGTAAATATTTTTACTACGAGAGGCCGCATAAATCGATATATCTATAAATGCGACTTTTGTGATATTACAGGGTTGTTACAGAAAAAAATGAACAATATAGTTGCTTTTAGTGGCCTAAAGCATGAAAATAGTTGCCGAAAACAAAGAAAATACTTGCCTATATAAGAACAAAAATATGACTAAAATTTTATTAAATGACTTAATTGTCATAGACAATGATCCATTTAGTCATGCTGGTGGCAAATATGATCTTTTTTACATAAGCATTAGTGTTCTAATAGTTATTTTAATTAACTTATATAATTAATTTCTTAGTATAAATAAATTAAGGCCTTTTTTTACTTTCTTCGGCGAAAGGGTTTTGGAAAATCTCATGCAAACTTAAATAGAAAACCCTATGATGAAGTAAATAGCAAATTCCATTAAGTTGATTTTTCGAAAAAAACCAACCAGAACGAATAAACTTAGAGATCATCCATTGGATAGATACGAAACCGGGCTATTGAAAGGATAGCAGGGCTATCCAAACATCTCTTGATTGAGCAAAATCGTGAACAAGCCGAGAGGATTCTTTCCGGATTCCAGGCACACGCAGAAATACTTCAGTAGTTGGAGGATGTCAGGAAAAGAGACCTTTACTTATTGATTCCAGGAGAAGCACGTGTTGCCCCTTCTGTTCGGGAGATAAGGGTAGGATTCTATTGCCTCTTCCTCAAGAAGGGGGGTTACATGATCCCTATCGAAGAGGATCATGAGCAAAAGAGGGTCACTCCACTTCAACGGAAAGTTTATTTTCACAACATTCTATTCAAAGTATGTAATTCGATACATTTTTGATGGCAAACTTTACTAAAGTTTAGTTATTTTAAAACGACTGATTCGAGATGGCAGGTTTGTTAATTGAAAAGTTTAGTATAATTGGGTTCTTAAGGACATTTTTTTTAAAAATTAATTAATTAATGAAGTTAATTCAATAAATATTATTTTGATTTGATTGAGGTTTTGTTATTCTTAAACGACTGATTATAGATGGCAGGTCTATTAATTGAAAAATTTAGTAGAATTGGGTTCTTAAAGACATTTTTTTTTAAATTAACATTTCTTGTAAAAGTTAATTCCATAGATATAAATATTTGTCAGTAAATATTATTTCGATATGATTAAGGTTTAGTTATTTTTGGTCTATTAATTGAAAAATTTAGTAGAATAGGGTTCTTAAAGACATTTTTTTTAAAATTAACATTTCTTATAAAAGTTAATTCCATAAATATAAATATTTGTCAGTAAATATTATTTCGATATGATTAAGGTTTAGTTATTTTTAGACAACTGATTAGAGATGGCAGGTCAATGAATTGAAAAATTTAGTAGAATTGGGATCTTAAAGACATTTTTTTAAATATTAATTAATTAATGAAGTTAATTCCATAAATATTATTTCGATTTGATTAAGCTTTTGTTATTCTTAAATGACTGATTAAAGATGGCCTAGAAAGTTAATTCGATAAATTTTTGGTGGCAAGTTTTACTTCTATTCGATTAAGTTTTAGTTGCTTTTAAAAGACTGATTCCTTATAGCCTTTCATGGCTATTAGTTGAAAAAATTATTGGAATTAGGTTCTTAAAGACATTTTTTTTAAAATTGCTATTTTTCAGGAAAGGTTATTCTATAAATCTTTTATAGCAAATATTTTCGATTGAGGTTTAGTTACTTTTAAACGACTGATGAAAGAATTAATAAAAAAGTTTAGTGGATGAAAGTTCTTAAAGCTATTCAAAGAAAAATTACAAACGCTATGAGCGTTAAAAAATATAGGGAAAAAATGGAATCAAGTTTCATATGGTTAGAATAATATTAAAAAAAACACACACAATTTTTTAAGCGTTTCCATAGATGTATTGGTATGAATGATGATTAAATGTTACTTACATAGCACCAACATAGAGAACATCTCTTTTAGCATCCAAATAAAACGTGCGGTAGTATTGAAAACCACAACCGAATTCACGGACATGTTCTGTAAAAAGAAAGAAAAAAAAAAACCATTATTATACAATAATTATCCAGTTATAATAGTATCCATAACACAAATAACGTTATTAACAAAAACGACTCATATTGACGTTATCGAAATTTTCATATTTTACAATAAATTAATAATAACAAAATTGAAATTATTTTATTATTAAAAACACACCATTAATGTTTTGCCATTGATTCAAATATTGATGTTACTTAATATTTACTTTTAGTGGCTCAGATTTATCTCAGCCATTTATTCAGATAAAATGATTTTTACATAAATATAATATTATTATAATGTCTCTCTAAAATGTATTTATAGAGATTTCATACTATAAGATTATATTTTAGTATAAAGAAACAAAAATAAAAAAATTTAATCAAAGTTGGTAAATTGAAAAAATCGGGAAAAATTTAAAATTGGTGTTTTGTCATTTAAAGTATGCCACAAAGAAAAAATTTCATGTTCACGATTTTTTCTTGCTTTTTTAGGGTGTAAAAAAGAAGAAAATTCATGTAGAAATAGCGTGCCCCCCCCCCCAATTTTTTTTCTGGCCGCCTAATTGGCGCTAATTTGTAGAATTGCTCATATGTTACCTTTTAGCCGTTTCATAAAGAAAATTTATAAAACATACTTGTATTGATAAATTTAATAAAAAAATAATAAACTTGTAGTTAAAATAAATGTGTAATTTCTGAATCAAAATGCAAATAAGTTCTTAATAAATATAAACATCTTTAAAAATTCCGTTCATTATCAGCATTTGAAAGTGGAGGATACTTAAAACAATAAGATTCAATGCAAAATTTTCACTAGTTCATAAAGAAATGTTCAATCCACTAACAAAATGCGATTAAAATGAAAAATGTCATTAGAAAACCATTAAAAAAATAATGAAAAAAGAAATTAGAAAGTGAAGAGAATAACTTGAAAAACTATGAATAATGGCCCTATATGGGAAAACAAAACAGTGGGAAATGCATTTATCATCAACAATGAAACATTATTAAAAGGTTGTCTACTGTCCAAAAGCAAATTCTTACATCTTTAAAAATTCCGTTCATTACCAGCATTTGTAAGTGGAGGATACTTAAAACAATAAGATTCAATGCAAAATTTTCACTAGTTCATAAAGAAATATTTAATCCACTAGCAAAATGTCATTAAAATAAAAAAAGTCACTAGAAATTCCTTCATTAAAAAATTATGAGAAAAGGAAAAAAATAATTAGAAAGTGAAGAGAATGACTTAAAAAACAATGAATAATGTTCTATAGAGGAAAACAAAACAATGGAAAATGCATTTATCACCACCTATAAAACATTATAAAAATGCATATTCAGTTAATTTGGGTAGTTGCAGCTAACCATTTAGTAGTGTGTCCAATAACGTGGGTGCGCATGGCGTCTTAACTTTACAGCTTCAAGGCTTGGGTTTATTATCACTCTGACTCAATTTTCGGATAAGATTTAATTGGATACCTACCATCGACGTCATGCGTGTGTGTGTCTAACTGATTGGCCGACCCACTCGTAACGTCACTCATAAAAATAAAAATTTCCATTTGTCAATTCTTTTTTATATGTACTGAACAGGAGAACGACCATTACCGTTTTATGTCATTTTTCATTTGGATACAAAGATAGCCAATAGATCCCTAACAACAATTTTACATTGGCCCCAGTTGGACTGAAAATTGGTTCAATATGGGTCCTATAAATACATGCACCGAGGGACCAATATTGTGATGTCTAGAATTTTAATATTGGTCCTACAATGGCCTATATAATGCCTAAATTTGGCTAAATTTTTAAAATATGTGAAAAACTGAATCGCTCATAGTAAAATTTAAAACAATGACTAACGCTTAACCAATCAGATTTGTTTTTCGCTCATCCCTATTTAATTCATGAATTAATATTTGGAAAAAAAACTGTATTAACATCAAGTGTAGTCCACAACAAGTTTTGAACTAATAGTAGGAATTGAATAAACAAATAAAAAGAAATAATAATTTGCTCTCATTATGTTTGTATGAATCTTTCATAGGATTGAAGACAGATTTTGCATTTAAAAAAACCTATTGAAAACATAACTATCTTTAAAACATTCAAGGAGAAAGTAAAAAAAAAAGATCATCATCATATTCATATCTATCTACTCATAAATAAAATAAGTGTTTTAAATTGCGATTGTCTTTTCAACAGAAATACGGTGTTTCACTTTTCAAACCGTCGTTTAAAATAAGAAGAAAAAAAGAAACAAAGAGAGAGAGAAAAAAAAAGCAGCGGAAAAAAAAATGTTTTGAACAAAAATGTCGAAGTTGTCAAGCGCAGCGGTGATAATGTCAATCAAAAACAGGCGCAAAGAGGGGAAGGGAAGAAACAGAAGATTCCTAGACAAAGAAAATGTTCTTTTTCTGTGTCTTCCCTCCCACTGACAAATGAACTAAAAGATAAAATAAAATAAAAAGTTTCGTTTTAAAACAAAAACATTTTCTTTACAGCAAATAAACAATAACGAAATAAATAACTAGAAAAGACAACAGATTCGCTTAAAATAAAAACTTTTATCTAAATTGACACTCTAATCATATGAGCAATTCATATAACGAAATAAAGGCATATCTTATGCTACTTGTCAATACTGTCAAGCCTATTTTAAGGCAAGAGGGGTGCGCATCTTGTTTTCCAGTGGTGCCATCTATGACCAAGAATTTGACTTCTGCCCCACACATACGTCACAGCCCGTTTTACATACACATTCACGCACCATCCACCCGCAGATCGTAATTTTGACCTGAACCAGATCAGGATCAATCTCCGATCCAGTATCCCGAATGTATTGATTTGTTATGGAAACTTGGAGGACTTTGTGACCCCGATGGATTTAGCGTGCATCAGTCACCATCAGCCGACGGGTACAATATGGAATAGGAAAAAAAAGAGAGGGAAATACTTAATTTTAGTGAAGGGCTACAAAACATATTTACAAGTTTATCACGTGACTTACAACGGAAAAATCTATAATAGGAATAAAGAATATTAATGTGCATGTACATTATACAAATCCGCAATTCTGAAACCATAGCACCTACAACAGCGATACCAACAGTCTTTAATACCGCATTTAATTAAGTAATAATAGTTAAGCGATTTTTTAACAGCCCGATATTCGTCCGCAAATGATTTTAACAAAAACTAGGGTCATAACTTTCAAGAATTAATATTAATTAATGTTGGTAATAGTTAAAAATTGAAATAAAACGATACGTCTTGCGTTAAGAAATTAAATCAGTCAGGAAAAGGTGCTTATACGTATATGAGAACAGTAAAAATATTAACGCTAATGATGCTTAATTAATTTTGGTTATACGTAAGTTACTCTGTGAATGACCGAAATTGGTGGTTGTTCCACCGGTGAATGTTGACAATCACATAGTCGCTTTGGTAAATGTCCGAAATATATACTAGGTCTAGTTAAGTGCCACTGCCCAGTACACATTTGCCCGGTATACCCCACACTGATGCTTTTTAAGGTTCAGTGCCACTGCCCGGCACTCGGAACACTGATGTTTCTCCCAATCCATCCTTAGCAGATATTAAAATATCGAATAAATATAGTAATATCAACGAATAAATTCATATCAAATCGGATATAACAAGTATTTCGGACATTCACCAAAGCGACTATGTGATTGTTGACATTCACCGGTGAAAGATGATATTCACTTGATTTCGGTCATTCACAGTAACAAGTAATGAAATGAAAAGTTGGTACTAAAAAGCTAAATTTATGGAGAAAAGGTACTAATTTATTTGCAGGATTTCTTCGAAATTCATACAGAATTACTTTGAAATCAAATCAAACTACATTACAATATGATCAAAACATGTGTTACATGCTTACGATAATCGTAACATGCGTTATACATGTACGATATAGTAGAATTTAAACGAACTGAAATATTTTTTTAGAAATTCATTATATAATTCATCAAATAATTTCCTTCATTAAATAATTTCATTCATTAAATAATTTCATTAATTAAATTAATTCATTAATAACATAAATGATTCATTCCTATCAAATATTATTCAAAAACAGAAAATCAATAATATTTACGATCTAATCTGTAGTGATAGAAACAAAGACATTTCTTAAAACAAACTGCCCCAAAAATTCATACGCAATTATGAGTAGAAGGGCTGGGGGAAGACCCCCCTCCCCCCATTTGCAAAAGATAATTACAGTTCGGATAAATTCCGTCGGAGAAGGACGGAAGAAAACGACATTACTCTATCTTCGAGCGATGCAATTTTGTCAAGCGTTTGTGGGGTGAGCAACCTGTGATTTGCATCGCAAGTCATTCCGCAGGTGAAAAAAATTCTTCGCAAGTAAGGGAGGGAGGAAAAAATGTTCTAAAGATGAATGGGAATAGAGAGGACGGAGCAGGACCTCATCTTGAAGATCTCGACAGAATGTTGTCTTCCACCAGTGTTCAAGAAGGGGACTTTTAAGAGCTTTTTTTTTATGCCACCAAGGCGAAACGGCCGCGGGCTATAGCGTTAGTAGAATGCGCGACACAAGGTGATGCAATACTGTTTGTAGGAAAAATTATCACATTTGCTTTGAAAGCGTACGCGGGAACTAGGAGGGAAAAAAAACGTTCTTTAGTGAAAGGTCAAAATTCTTTCGTCTATAATGTCTATTAAAAAAAAAAAAAATTCTTATTGTATGAGATTGTACGTCGACGCGATTCTCGCATGCGTAGGCAGTTTATCCTACATGTAGTTTCTAAATATTCGCACGAGTGCAGTTTGGGCCAGAAGACTATGATCTTTGGCCAAAAGTAAAAAAGTAATTTTTCAACTAAAATATGTGTAGGCAGTTTTAATATATCCCAAATTAAGTATTCATAATCATTCAAAACATTATAACTTTCTTTTTGGACCGACGAGAGTACAATTTAATGAAAAATATGTTTAAAAATT